GAATTTTAACTTGTGTCTTTAATTACTTCAGCAAAACTCACCGTTTTTACCAAATTCTGTAGTTTTCGGTGTACTTCTAAATCTGCTCCTTAGTCGCATCTTTTCGGGGTTGCTACTGTCTCTAGTGTCGTGGGGATGGTAACACAACTAATATAATTACATTACTAAATCAGAATACCGCAAAGTCTTTATTATTTATTATACATTTTTCATTCTCTTAAGAATGTAGAGCTAATTAAACAATCTAAACAAGACCTTAAAGTGGTTCCAGTTTCTCTCGATGGCCAACCTGTTGAAACTGTGGAAAATTTTGAATACCTTGGGTTGTTCCTGGACAGTCAGCTCAACTTTGCTGAAAACACTGACTATATTTTGAAGAACTGTTCTCAGAGACTCTATCTTTTAAGAAGACTTAGTGATCATGGGGTGACCCAACTAGACTGTAGTTGGGTCACGCCTATGTCTTGAATATGGAGGGGAAAAAAATCATATTTTATTTATCACTACAGAAGGGTTCAGTGAATGGGCATATGAAACTGGTGGGTTCGGTACCTCAAAAAAGGTTAAGAACCACTGGGATAGAGAATCAGTTCAACTGTTGCTCCCATCACTACACCCCTTTTTTCAGACTCTCACTTAAGTTTTTCCTCCAGGTTCATCCTTGTGACGCTGATTGTATGGCAGCCTCCCTCTGTCAGTCGGCCTCAGTAAATTCACAGTGAGTGAATGACTGAATGTAGTGTGAAGAGTTTTGGACTCTTCTGGACTAGATAGTTATACAGGTACAGACCTTTTGCCGTTTAAGAACAAAACCCTACAGAGCTTTAATGTCCTGACACGCTTCCTGCTGAACTGTAGATCACAAGTTTTCTACAGATTGGGAAAAAAATGTGGAGGCAACTGTTACTGTAAAGTGGCTTGGAAAGTTCAGCCTGATGTAGGCATATAGGGGAAGTTTACTGCCAAAATTCAATAACTTACATTTTAAATTTGAAAGTTGGATGTTATCTTTTTGCACTTAAAACTCCTGCTTTCCCTCAAATCTTTGTTTTTATGCTCAGATTTTCTGCTTCTCTGCACAGATCAGAACAGCGCTGACTTTAGATGTAGGGAAAACCATCAGCTTTCTGCTCTATGTTACAATTTTAAGGAACTCATGACATGTTTACAAAAATAATAATTATTTGGGTTTGTCAGTTTAATAGTTTTCCAAATCTGTAAATGAATATATTAATCTGGGCTCTTACAGAAATATGTTTTGAGCAATATTCAGTCAAACTATTTTACAGAGTAAACACAAAATGCAACTTGCATGACAATATTTTATTGGAGTTTGCAGCAAAACAGCACAACTGTATATATTTGAAACTTATTTTGTACTTATTGGGTTTTATGTCTTAGGGTAAAACCTACCCTATCACCATCTGTGATTGTCAAGCCATGCTGTTCTGGATGCTTTAGAATAACAATTAAAACAAAAAACATTTTCATAATGTGAACAGTAGTAAACCTGCCTAATATATTAGCTGGGGCTAAATCCATCAATAGGAGCTAATGTAAAATAAAAGAAATGGATGAGGATGAATAGATGAACATTTTGTTATCAAAACTGAACAGGCTACAATATTTTCAGGGGTTTTTATTCCTATTTTTTACATTTGAAATAAATGTTTCTCAGTCTATTATTGCAACTAATCATGAATCCCTTCATGGCTCCATGTGTTGAGGATTCGCTGTAACAGAGTTCATCTCAGCTACTGCTGCCTTTCTTCACCAACCATTAACAAGTAACTGGACAGGTGTACCTAAAAAAAAGTGGCCAGTTTGGTTCTTTGTTTCCAGCTTGCAAAAGGTGCTCAAAAGAATGTCATTTCAAATTAAACACTTTGACAAAACTCTGAAGCTCAGAGGTCAGAGGTCACTCTGTGGGAAACATGTTTAATTAACTGAAACCTTCAACCAGAGAAAAAACATGAAAGAGTTTTAAAGAGCAAAACTAATTCAATTATCTCTGTGCAGCAAGAACCTGGTTTATTTATTTGCTTTTTTCTTTTATCCGTCACCTGAGTGGGAGTTTTATTCAGAAAATCCTACATTCCCTCAATGACTGAAGTTGGAATTTATTACAGGTTTAGACACATTGTTAGAAAAATATTTAGTTTTGTCATAGAAGTTCATACGCAAACCCTTCTTAGAATGTCAGAAATGGTTTTATTTTCTTCTTTTTTTTTCTTCAGATTTTGATGTTCGGTGTCAACAGGAGCTTAAAGAGCATCTGAAGAAGAAGCTCCAACGTCTCTCTGAAGGCGTCGCTGAACCTGGAAATCAAACGTTTCTGAACCAGATCTACACAGAGCTCCACATCACAGAGGGGTTAACTAGAGAGGTCAACCAGGAACATGAGGTCAGACGGATTGAAACAGCAACCAGGAAACAAGAAACAATCAGGAGAGAAGAAATCTTTAAACCTGGAAGAGATCAACCAATCAGAACAGTGATGACAAAGGGAGCAGCTGGTATTGGAAAAACAGTTTTAATACAGAAGTTCACTCTGGACTGGGCTGAAGGCAAAACCCACCAGAACATCCAGTTCATATTTCCATTCACTTTCAGAGAGCTGAATGTACTGAAAGAAGAAAAGTTCAGCTTGGTGGGACTGATTCATCACTTCTTTACTGAAACCAAAGGAATCAGTAACTTTGAACAGTTCCAGGTTCTGTTCATCTTTGATGGCCTGGATGAGAGCAGACTTCCTCTGGACTTCCACAACCAGGAGATCCTGACTGATGCTACAGAGTCCAGCTCACTGAATGTTCTGCTGACAAACCTCATCAGGGGGAAACTGCTTCCCTCTGCTCTCCTCTGGATAACCACACGACCTGCAGCAGCCAGTCAGATCCCTCCTCACTGTGTTGGCATGGTGACAGAGGTCAGAGGGTTCAATGACCCCCAGAAGGAGGAGTACTTCAGGAAGAGATTCAGAGATGAGCAGCAGGCCAGCAGGATCATATCC